TTTTCACGATGTCGAGACAAACGTCCTCAATTTAAACTTCTTTCCTTCAAATATTTTCTTTACATTTCTTAACGTTTTCTTACATTTTTGTTTTCTTTCTTTGTTCTTTTTCTTTTTTTGTTTTTTCTATTCATTCTTTTTTTTTCTTTTTTTTTCCTTGCATAAAGCAACTTCGTTTTATTTCTTTCGAAAGATATCAATAGGTTATTTTGAAAATAGAGAGAAAATAAAGGATATCTTGACTCGGCTCTCTAAGATGTCACTAGATAACTTCCCTTACGAAACTTTCGAGTCTATTCGAACTATTCTGAGATTCGGAGAAAAAGGACTAGATTACAAACAAATGGAAAATACTTCGGAAAAGAAGTTTAGATCACCGAGACGGAAAAGGGGGAGATAGAGAGAGAGAGAGAGAGAGAAAGGGATTGAGAAAAGGAACATGTTTACTCGTCTTTCTATCCATACTATCCGAGATAAAATAATCTCGTCGATGAGGGAAGAAGAGAGAAAGAGAGAGAGAGAGAGAGAGAGAGGGGGGGGGGGAGAGAGAGAGAGAGAGAGGGGGAGAGAACAAAAAAAGGAATAAAATAGAATGAACCAAAAGTAAAATCCTACGATCAATTTCAATCCGTTAGTTTCTAAAGAAAGAGAGAGGAAAAAAAGGAAAGAAAATAAACAAATAAATAAAGTAAAGAGAGAAAGAGAAAGTTAAAGAAAAAGAAAAAGAAGATAAAATTAATTACAAAATATAATGGAATGGTATAACTAAATGAAATCATATTAAGCAATAATTTCAAGAGAAATTCGATATGTCACACTTGGCACGTCGTATCAATCGACGTTAACGTCGAGACTAATTCGATCTGTATTAACCGAGGGATGACGATTCACAACGTCGATCGAGAATGCACCATCGATCATAGTGCTAACGACATCCATTATCCTCGACGGAACTGTCTTATTTACGGAGAATCCCGTTAGCGTTGGCCTTAGGTAAGTCCTTCTATCTCTATCACACTCTGTTCTAGATGGATTTATTGCAAGAGGTAAATAGATAGAGAGAGAGAGAGAGAGAGAGATAGAGACAAACAGACAAACAACGACATCTATAGATGGATAGAAATAGAGAGAGAGAGAGAGAGAGAGAGAGAGAGAGAGAGAGAGGGAGGGAGGGAGGGAGAGAGACAGAGAGTATGTCTAAGGAAAGGAGAAAAGCATATACATACATATAGGGTATATGCATAATAGGAGGGTGCTGAAGGTTGTCTAAGGGCTAAGGGCAAAGGGAGAAGGGATCCTCGTTACCGGAACAACAGACGTAACCGCAATCCATCGCAGGACAGAACTATGCTTCCTATCCCGGTCGATAAGTCAATGCTCCGACAATAGCCGTCGACAGGGAGTAGCCACCCAACTGCGGCCAGATCTCTCTCCCTCTCCCTCTCCCTCTCCACCTCTCGCTCTCTCTCTCTCTCCCTTCGAGTTCGTAGCAGCATAGGCAGGAGACACAGAACCTAGCTGCTCGATTGCCCTCTGGCCGTTGTCGTTGTCGTTGTCATTGCCGTTGCCATTGCCGTTGCCATTGCCGTTGCCATTGCCGTTGCACCTGCAAGTCCCGTGGGTGCTTTCCCATCGTCCTATCCTTTCCCCCCTGTCCCCTTTCCCATCCATTTACTAGTACACGTGGACAAATGCCTTAGGGTGAGCGAACCTTAACAATGAACCACGTATACGTCTTGAATACGATCGAAATTCTTTTAACTATTTCTTACTTTTTGTTTCTTTTTTCTTTCTTTTTTTTGTTTTTTGTTTTTGTCGGTTTGTTTCTTTCTTTCTTCGTTTCTTTTCGCTTTTTTTTTCTTTTTTCTTTTTTTTTTTTTTTTTTTTTTTTTTTTATTTTATTTTACTTTATTCTTTTTATCCTTTTTCTTCTCCCTTTTTTTCTTTTT